AAACATTTGTTTTTCCTTTTTTAAAAATCATGATATCTATTTATTTTGTTAGTTTTTTCCAAAAAACTTCCAATATTTAGCAGTTCCGTGGTTTTACTTTCAGTGTTGTTAATGTCTTCTTTAATTTTCAGAATTTCTTCTTTGTTGTTTAGTTGGGGGTTATTTTACTTGTGCATCAATTCACTGTTTCATTCTTTTTCTTTAAAAGCTAATTTAGCTACACCTCACAAATTTTGATATATCGTCTCACTGTCATTTTTGAAGAAATTTTCAGTTGTTTCTATAACTTATTCTTTGACCCAGCTATTACTTATTTGGCTTTCCAGTACTTTCTCTCCTCATTTACTGAATCTTTACTGAATCTAATTTTAATTATATTTTGATCAGTAAATGAAGTATTTATTATTTCTGCTTTTCCACATTTTTATTGAGTTTTTATGCCCCAATATAGGCTCAATTTTTATGTACAGCTAAATTCCTTTCTATTGCCATTCACAAATTATTTTTTCTAAAATTTTCCAGACCCTTAACTCTTTGTCTTTTGGTTAGATTTCTCTAAGTCTGAAAGAGGTACCCCCTCCCACTTATAGTTTTATGATGTATTTCTCTGTCTTCTCTCCTCAAACTAGATTAATTTTTCCTGCAAATATTCAGAAGTTATGCTATTTGGTATACACATATTGTGCATTGATATGTTATCTATCTTTAAGCATAATATAATTTCTCTGCTTATCTCTTATTATTGTGTCTATATTTACAATAGCTTTATCTGAAATCATGATTGGTAGCCCTGATTTTTTTAGTTCGGCTGAAGAAAAACATATTTTGTTCTAGTCTTCTGTTTTATCTCTATGTGAACCTTTATATTCCATAAATAACTTATTGTTGCATTCTGTTTTCTAATCCACTTTAACCCCTTCCATTTTATGGGTCTTCTCCCAGCACTGTTTCTGACTCTCTAAACTTTGCCACCCTATTTTGGCTATTTTCTTACCCTAGAAGATCCCTTTCTCCTGGTCCCCTGGGGCTTTTTTATCCTGAGAGATCTTTCTGCTCCTACTTGCCCCTCCTTCTATTGATGAGTTCCTCTAGGAACCTCCACTTTCAGGAAGTGTTCAGGTCGCCCATCCTTCATTCTTCTCGCAGGTACTCTCTTGTCTCTCTAAGCTTTGCCATCATGGTCCTGTTGGGATCCTTCTCCTTCTCTTTTTTCCCCCAATGTGTTTTCTTTTCCCATTGGAACATAAACACCTCAAGGGGAGGTATTTTTTTAAAAATTTGTTTTCTCAGCACTTAGCATAGTGCCTGGCACATAATAAGTGATTAATAAATGCTTTATGATTTAAAATATGGGAGATCCAATTTTATTCATATCTACAGTTATGATTGCTAATTGTGTATTTGCCTCCAGTCCCTTTGTGGTTTTTTTTCTCTTTATTCTACTTGACATTTGTGATTAATAAATAAAACACCTTGTTGAGGTTCCATAGCATCTCTTAACATTCCCCTTGTGCTATCTTTGATTGTAGGTTTTTATTTTCATCCTTTTCTTTTGATTTCTCTTTCTGACAGCTCCTCTCCCTTTATGGTAGTAGCTGCTAAATCTTAAGTGATCCTCACTGTAACTCCTTGGTACTTGAATTCTTCCTTTCTGGCTGCTGATAGTATTTCTTTTTCTTTGACCCAGAAGCTCTGGATTTTGGATATGATGTTACTCGGTGTTTTCATTTTAGGGTTTCTTTCTGGAGGTGATGAAAGGTATTCTTTTTATTTTTAATTTGCATTCAAGTTTTAAGGGTTCTAGACAGTTTTCATTTATAATTTCTTGACATGATTATCAAGGCTTTCTTTTTTGGTTATGATTTTCAGATAGTTCAATAATTCTTAAATTATTTCTCCTTGGCTTGTTTTCAAGGTCATTTGGGGTTTTTTTTGTAATATATTTCTTATATGTTCTTTCAGTTTTTCAATTTTGTGATTTTGTTTTAATATTTCTTGTCACATTGAATCGCTGATTTCTGTTTGGCTCATACTAATTTTTAGGGTTTGCAGTTCTTGGGGGAAGTTTTCCACCTTCTATCTTAAGGTGTCAATATGTGTCATTTATTTTCTCCCTCATCATTCCATTTTGTGTCTCTTATTTCATTTCTTCCAGGTACTCTCATAGCCCTTGTGGCCAGGACATTTTTTTTTCTCCTAAGTTTTAACTGGACTTGCTGTAAGGTTACTCTCTTCCTCAGAGTGTACTTTCTGGGCATCTCTCAGTCCAAGGTATGTTCTTTTAGTTTTAGGTGTTTTCCTGGTTTGCTCATCTTAGCAATCTAAATGCCCAAGTTGAAGGGATAGAAGAGTCCTGTGTTTGGGTCAGGGTCTGCTCTTTGACTCTTGCAGGGAGTGGACATGCCATGTCTAGTTCTATATAAGGTAGCTAAGACCAGTCCCCTCCATCATTCTTTTAGATTCTTGATCTATATGGAATTTTATTTCAATACCTATAAGAAATTTATTCACCTATAGGAATTTTATTATTTTTTCTATCTCTATAAATAATCATTTGGTAGTCTGATTGGTAGTCATTTGGCACTGATTAAGTAAATTAATATGGGTAGTATCATCATTTTTAATCATTATCTTTGCCATAAAACCCATCCATCTCATAAATTGCCCCATACAAAGGTACAGAGACAGGAGACGAAGAGGCATCAGATTTTTCTAGTCACCCAAGTTCACAAGCTTGGAGTTTTTTTCTATTCCTCTCCCTTACTCTACATATTAAGTAAGTTGCCAAGTCTTATCTACTGTGCTCCCCCCCCCAAATCTTCCCATTACATCTCTTTCAGCCACTACCTTAGTAAAGGCCTTATGACACCTTCCCTGGATTACTATAATAGTCAACTAAGATAGTCTCCCTAGTTCAAGTGTCTGCCCTCCCAAATCAATCCTCCATGTGATATTCTGAAAACCTTAACCTAATCACATTACTTCCCTATTCAGTACATTCCAGTGATTTATTGCCTCCAGGGTCAAATACAATCCTTAGTTTGGCATTTAAAGTTTACTTTAAATATAACTTTTTATGCATTCCATGGTTCAGCAAACCTAGTCTTCTTGCTGTTCTTTACATAAGACCACCTCTTTTCTCTAAACTTTTGTATAGGCTATCTTCCATGGATACAATATATTCTCTTATCACAGCCTTGGCATTCCTACTTTCCTTCAATGCTCAACTCAAGCAGTAACTCTTACGTGAAGCTTCTCCTGATCCCCCTATTTGCTAGTGTTTTCTCCTCATTACCTTGGATATCATTTATCCAAGATATACTTGTATGTACATGTATTTTTACCCCTATGTAATTTAAGCTCTTGTAGAGCAGGGGTATTTTTGCCATTGTAACCCCAGACCCTTGCACATAGAAGGCACATAATAAATGTTTCTTAACAGACTGACTTTCAATACCATGGGACATTTTTTAAAAGAACCAAAAATTGTACTGGGTCAAAAGCCATGTTAATATCCTCCACTTTTTAATGTAAATGTTAAATAGTATTTAATACTTTAATGGACCAGTGTTTTCACTGATATGGGCATTCTCTCCAGTGATGCAGATTTTGCCAGTCCATTATGTGACACTCTTATCTGTGTCTTTAAATGCATACGTTCAGTTCAAGGAGCATTCCCAATGTGCTAAGGGTGTTCAAATTCTGATATGACAAGAAAATTAATGGAACCCATAAGCTAGAGTCCATCCTTTTTGATCAAATATTTCTTTGATAGGATACTTTAATGTCATTTCTCCTCTTCAAGTTTATTATGTCTTTTTTTTTTTCAGTTTCAGGTGAGTCTTCCTTTCAAGTCTTCATAGTTTTTCATCAACACATTCATCAAAGGCATTCTTAAGGAAGATGTTAGAAGGGAATAGGAAGGATTTTTCAAATATTATTTGGTAAACCACAACTTAGCCACAAAAAAATTAGCTGAAAGATTCAAAAAATACAAAATCTCACTGTGCTTCTTTTTGATGATTTTTTTAAAAGCACATTTCGTGTGGTCAAGCAAAACACTGCCTGAAAGATTCAAAATCTTTTACTAAGCTAGCTCTCATGTATGTATCAAAATAATACAAGATTCTTGGACCTCTAATCTCTAATATCAAGTGAAGCATAAAAGAGAGGTATGCTCACCAAAGATTTTTTCTATTAATATGAATGAGATTCAGTGTAAAAGACAAGTCAAAGAGGGGTAATGAGGTCCTATAGCTGTCCCAGTTCGCAGATGATAATATTTTACTGGCTCCAAACTCCAGAATAACATGGAGCTGCTTAATGAGGACTCTAATCACTTAGAACTCTAACCACATTAAAAAAAAATGATGAATGTTTACAGAGCTTATGTATCCATATGTAAATACGTACACATGCATGCACACACACACACACACACTGAACTGATACTGAAAATGGAAATAACTTGAGGTTGGGAACTGACAGGAGGAAGAAAGTTTGCTGGATTGCATTTCTTTAATGATATGAAGCTTCCTCTGGGAAAAATGTCATGTTTTTCATAACAATATTCTACTGGTGACACTATCAGTATCAAATGGTATACTATCTTTTTGCTGCTTCTAGTGCTATTTTGTTATTTATTGTTATTTGGCTATTATATTACTTTATTAGATATAAATTTACTTATTTCATCAAAGGAATTAAAATAGAATCATGTTATCATTTCAGTGCCAGAGAAATTAAGAATATTACCTAGTATTTTAAAAACCATGATCTAAATAACAATAATAATGTGTTTTTAATTGTATATCAGATGCTCAAAGCACTAAAAGTTACTATTTTGTTAAAATATACAAACCTTTTTGGTTAAGCAAAAGATTCACCATTCTTCACAACTGTTATAGAACATGATACTGTTGTACTTTTACATATTTGTCAGATTGGGGAAAGGTTAAATTACATTTTTTAAAAACCATAAGAAAAATAAGTAATCATACCTTAATTTGTGCAAATGGTCTTTCATAACCTCCAACATAAAGAAGGCCAACATTCTGGGGAAGCAGCCTACAATTTAAAAAATAATCATTTTCTTATCAACATTTCTGCAAAGGACAAGTACTGTAATAAAACTAATATCTATGCTACTTTTATGTAATGATAAAACTAGCAAAAGAACCATTCTGGGATTTCAAGTTATAGTAAGTTAAAGAAGACATCTGCTAGAAATAAAACCTAACTAGAGCATTTTAACCTAAAAATAAGTAATTCTAGTAAAGTCACTACTCTATCTATGGAAAGGGAGAAAGATAAAAAGAATTTATATGTTTTTTAATACAGTATTTTCTGAAACATTACTAATATTAAAGCAAGATTTTGTCAGTATGTACAATCCTAATACAGGCAATTTGTTAAAATACTGTTAATGCTGTTAAATATTTGTCTTCTTTGATTCCTCCCTTTCTTTGATCCCCTACTGCCTAAAAACTTAAAATAGCTCCCCTCTACTTTTAGGATCAAATTCAATTACCTCACCTCGGTAGTCAAGAATTTCTATAATCTAGTCCCAATTAACTATTCCACCTTTTGTGGTAATACTACCCTATAAGAATCCTCTGCAGTAATTAAGCTGATCCCTTTCCCAACCCCAATTCTTATACTTTCTCCTCTCCATTCTTAAATTATCTTATATTTATTGAATTTGCATATATTAGATCTTCAGCAAATATAAATTCCTCGAGGGTAAGGATGGTTTCGATTTTGCCTCAGCTCTTAGCAGATTGTCTAGCACACAGTAAGCACTTAATAAATGCTTGGTAAATTTCCTTTGTGTTCACTTCTACCCTTTTGCTCATATTGTTTCAACAGATAAAAAGTTCTACTCCCTCAGCAATGACTAATCAATCCTTAGTCTTTCAAGACCCTTATTTCTTCCAGTTTCATTAGTCTATACTACCCTTAGTACTATAGTACTAAGATCTCCACTCATGCCAACTTATGATAGTATTTGTCTATGCATTATTTTCCAAATCACAAATTTTGGTAACTGATCATAGGTGTCTCATATTGTGCTCTCTTTGCACATATCTTATCTCTTTCTAACGACAGTGGACATTTTTCAATGGCAGGAATCATGTCTGACATTTTTCTTGAATACACAAAAGGACTACACTTAACATAAGGTATTCAACAAACAGTTTTTGAATTTAATCAAAGTAATAGGGTTTATAACATCAATATGAGAAGATTAATTCCCTATAGAGTTCTTCTAGATGTTCCTTTTGTCTTTGACTTTGTATGAAGCCCCAAAACATTAAAGGTCTCACCAATGAGAACCATGGGAATTCTAAAGAGATTAGCCTAGTAATCCACATAGTGAAGGCGGGGAAACTCAGATAAGTTGAAGAGGGCATACTGCAAAGGTTATGAGATGCAGCTGGATGGCAGGCTAGTGAACTGCATTAGTAGATATATCTGGGACAAACACTACAGATGGACAATAAACTGGACCCATAATTGAAAAGATGAAGAAAAAGGGCTGCACTGCATATGAGAAAATACCTTATATTTTCAATGATCCCTGACACAAAAACTTATCTTTGTAACACCAAAATTCTTCCAGTGATACTATATTGTTACATATACTAGAATGCCACAACCTCTGAAGAATGCAAACTGTAGATAAACCAAACAGCAATGGAGAACTACAAGGAAGTTTAAGCATTTATTAAATGCCTACTATGTACCAAGCACTCTACTAACTGATGGGCATACAAAGACAAAAGGCAGTCGCTATTCTTAAGGAGCTCACAACCTAAAGGAGGAGACAATACAAAAACAATTACGTACAAACAAAATATGCAGGGTAAACTGGAGATAAATAACAGAGAAAAGGTACTAGCATTAAATGGGATTAGTAAAAGCTTCTCTTAGAAGCCTTGGCATTTTAGCTGGGACTTGAAGGAAGCCAGTGAAAACGAGCAGGGTTAAGAGATAAAATGTCTTGTGCAAGGAGGCCAGTGTCACTGGATCATAGTAACCAGAAATCCCCTAAAATTACATAGCAAGCAATACATTTTTGTGAAATACCTTTCTTTCTTTCTTGGGAGGAGGCGGTTAGGCAATGGAGTTAAGTGACTTGCCCAGGGTCACACAGCTAGTAAATGCCAAGTGTCCGAGGGCAAATTTGAACTCAGGTCCTCCTGACTCTAGGGCCAGTGCTCTGTCTACCGCGCCACCTAGCCCCAAGCAATACATTTTAAATGCTGAATTTAGGTAAAACCCATATATTATGTAATGAAGAATCTGAAAAGAATAACGAAATCACAGAAAATAGAGAAGGAAGCCAAAATCCCTACTATAGAGTACATGTATTCAAATTTATAAGCAAACCTTTTTTTGTTAAAATAATTTTAACCTAGACAATCTAAATTTAAGACTCTACAACCAGAGTTTATTTGACTTAAATATCAAAAAACCATTTCTGTACTTGCTCTTGTTGCAACTCCAATTCTCACAATTCTTTCCTAAGTTACTGATGTCAATAAATGAGTACAATACTATGCACTGAAAAGACAGAGATCATTTGGTATACATTCCCTCAACTCTCCTCTTCTACAACCCTCCCCCACTTTTAAAAGCAATTTTACCTATTTTTCCCTGCTCCCTTTTCTGTCTCAAAGGAACACTTGTTCCTTTGCCAAGTGAAGGCTAATATTTCTGCATCCTTGACGTCACTTCTCCAGGCCACTGCTGCTGCAATCATCCCCTTTCCCTCATGGATAGATCTACAATCATTCCTATACCATGAGTCCTCCTCATCTGCTAGCAAACCTTCTCAGATTTACTTTCATCTTTTCCCCTAATAAGCTCATATTGCTACTTCTTTTCACTGCCAAATTTCTTATGCCTCTACTCCCTCTATCCTTCAAACCCTTCAAACCATTTGCAGTCTAATTTATATCCCCAAAATACTGAAATTGTTTTATCAGAGTCATCTATGACTGGTGACTATGACTAATTCAAAGGCTCTTCCTCAGTATCCATCCTTTTTTTCACCTCTGTAGCTTTCGATACTTTTGACCATTTTGCTCTTTCCAACAGTAAAATGGAAAATGCCTAAGCTATGAAATATGGGGCAACAAATTAAAAATAGTCTAGAAAAACTTTAAATGTCTTACTCATTGATTAAAAATGTAAATTTAATGTTAGACACTTAGGCTGCTTATTTTTTTCCTTTAAAAAAGTATACAGAATGCTTTACAATCTCTTTTTACGGTAAAGTTAGTTATTGTTCATATACTTAGAAACCTCCAAAAAGTAGAGAATCAAGATTGAAAATTTGACAGATATATCCTAATTACTATCATAATCTTGTAGAAAATATGTCAATGGTCTGTTTTTATCATGTTTTCCCATCTAAGTTACAAACCTTAGAACTATGGTTTTTGCCTCTTGAAAAAATAACTATGTATGCTTGACTTTTTAAATGTTTTACCTTTTCATTCATGTCACTCTTGTTCCTTGACTCCATAGTGAATTACCATCTGACATCTGATTGGGCTTTCATATGTAATATAATTTGAAAACTTATTAACTCTTTAGAAAATTAGTGTTTCCAGTCTATATATTTCCATTTTTGAAAATGAAACCTGTTTCTGAAATATTTTCCTATTTAAAAAAATGCAATATACTCAAAATGGTATGTCTTAGGTTGAAAAGTTATTGTGTAGGTACTAAATATGGCCAGGCACTTCAATAATTAGTTCTTTTCATTAAAAAAAAAAAGATATAAATCCAGATATTAGACACTGTGAAAAACAATAGCATCCATTACATTTTAAGAAAATAAATTAACAGGAAAACATTTTGCCTGGATTACTTTAAACACCAAAGGAACAAATATTACATCTTGTGGAAACAAGAAAATTCCAGGGAGTACAGCCAAGATGGCAGAGTAAAACCAATGACTTGCTTGAGCTCTCTCACAAATCCCTCCAAATACCTGTAAAAAATGACTCTAAACAAATTCTAGAGTAGTAGAACCCACAAAAAGACACAGTGAAAAAAATTTCCAGCCCAAGACAACCTACATGGTTGATAGGAGAAGTCTGTTGCACCAGGCTGGGACAGAAAAGCAGTTCAGTGTGGGCTGCACAGGGAAAGACCAGACCTCAGCGAACTTGGAGCAGGCCTCCGAGGACTGAATCAAGGGGAGCTATGGTGGTTTCCAGACTTCTCAACCCACAAATGTTAAAGACAACTTAGAAGGTCAGTAAGAAAGGTCTTTCAGATTTTGGTGAGAGAGGAGCTCAGTCTGGCCCCAGTCCAAGCGCAGCCCCAGGGCAGCGGCTGCTTCCAGAGCTCTGGGCCCACAGATGGAGGAAGGATTGAGCAGATGATCAGAGGGGGATTGCAGGGATCTCTTTGCTGGTGTTGAGGCAGGACTCTCTTGCTTTGCCCATGCTTGGATCTAGGTCACAGTTCTGGGTGGCTGGTGGACCTGGGGTGAGAGGAGCACTGGCATGGCAGAGTTTGTGGCAGCAGTGAAGAGGGAATCTTCCTCATGAAAAGAGTGCTTGTGGTCAATCATAGATCACAGCACAGGCCAGAAAAGGAGTGAACACCTCACCTTTGATCATACCACCCTGCAAGAATTGAAAATGTATAGATCCCTAGAAGTATCTCTGAAAGCTGCTGCACAAAACCACCAAGCTTGTGACAGTACATTCTCCACACTGTAAGCAGACCTCTACCTTAACAAAGAGTTTGATAGTCAAGTAATTGGCTAGGAACATGAACAAACAGCACAAAAAGAGTCAGACCATAAAATCTTACTTTGGTGACAAAGATCAAAACATACAACCAGAAGAAGACAACAAAGTCAAAGCTCCTACATCCAAAGCCTCCAAGAAAAATATGAATTAGTCCCATGGAAGAGCTCAAAAAGGATTTTGAGAAGCAAGTAAGAGAAGTAGAGGAAAAACTGGGAAGAGAAATGAGAGTGATGCAAGAAAATCATGAAAAACAAGTCAACAGCTTGCTAAGGGAGACCCAAAAAAATACTG